CCAAAAAGTACAGCGAGACCAAGATCCGAAAGAGACATGTTTCATCTGTAATGCCCTGATCTCGAAAAAGAATATCAAAAGACATGCAAAGAAACACAATGCGCGGGATGACTTGATACACCATCGTGGGATTTGCGTTGATAAACAGCGCGGTCTGTTCATGATAAGCAAGTCAAGAACTGGTCCAGACTACCCACCGCATGTGCAAATGAACACTGTAACTCAACAGATGCAATGTGAACATGAACACTGCAATTTAGCTTTGGGTGTTGCAGCAAGAGGCAATGTAGGTACTTATCAGTGCCCCATTTGCAATCAGTTATGTTTGCAAGTGCATGTCCTTAAAGAAGTGCGTCTTCAGTCAGACTATGCAGAAAATCTTTGTCAACAGAAGGTAATAAATTCAGCGAGCATGGAAATTGCCAAGAAGCTCGTTAATACGGCCGAGAAACACAAAGCCCTGTTGTCGTTTTATGGGAGCAGAAACACTCTGTAAACTGCCTTTATTTCTCTGTTTATGATGAAACGAAGGAATATTAGGCAAAACTCGGTCGCGCTGTAGTAACATTCACAAAGGAAAGAGGACAGCTAAATTGTGTTTGTTGCAAAACCACCAGATCTTGCGTACACAAGAATCTTGTCAAATGGTATTTGGCACAAGAACACCCAGAGTTGCTGAGCAGTACTGCTGAGAACAACACGGATATGTGCAGCGTAGATGAAGAGGTATCAGTTGACCCTAACTCAAGCGAGGAACCAATACCATCATTAACCATGGAAACCCGACCCTTACGAGAATCGGGAAGCAGGTTGTGCGAGGCATATCCACCGTCTGGACATGGTGCACGCTTAATGGTAAATTACCTAACGTCTCAGAAGAAAATACCACCAGAATTCAAACTTCCGGAAAATACACAGTTAGGACCTGTAGAAAACTTGGCACCAATCGAAACACAATGTGCAATGTGTGGAAATGAAGACCTTGACCAGTATCTGGTAACCAGAAAAGGGAAAATATATGATAAAGATCATGTGTACACAGGTATGTATGCTGAGGGGTAATACTGAATTATGCAAACTATTAATATTACCTCCAAACCACAAATAACAATACAATTATAAGAAGCCAGTAATATTTCGACTGACGGTGTGGGTTGGGTGATGTGAGGCGATTTCACATTGTTTCAATTAAATTGTATAACGTTGCTTTCAAAACCTAATGTGTGTAACATAATTCTTTTTACATATTAATTATATAATTTGTTTACAACCTTTCATTGTCAGATGTAGCTGTGTACGTTAAGAAGTGTCAAACGTGCGGTCACTTCTACAGGTACCAAGAGCACAGGGATGGCATACATAATTTTGACGACCACATATTCCTTTCAATTCGCCTGTGTCACTGGTTCAGAGTTAACTTGAAGGTACAATATACCCTTACTATATTCCGTTTTTGGACAAATCTATCGAACAGAAAATGAAAGGTAGCCACCTTCCACGTTGTCCCTTTCGTACAATGTATACTTCTTAACTTTAAATTTGTTTCGACATAACTAACTGTCACGAATTTATGGTTTCAGAGAACCACACGGCAATTGGAAGGGCTGCCGATACATTAACCGAAGACACAGGATTACATTTTCCCCGGAGACAAAAAATGTTACAGGGTATCTGCATTTTGAGGCCATGTGCGATCCACAAGTACAGTTTCACCTGTGACATCTGCGGCCGATTTCCATGTTGCCTGGTGACAGATGCTAACAGAAATGTGCATTTCCATTAGCATGTAAGTCGTTCATTCTTTTCCCTAAGATGTCAACTGTTTCCGGTATCTTTCATTTAGTGAACCGTCCAACATTCATGTTTCATGATCTCTGCTTTATGCGTTTCTCACAGTAGACATTTGTTGACGTCAGTGTCACAGGTACCAGGGGCAGAAACAGCTTCAGATGAAATCAACATGGATGTGTTTTGGAACCAAACAGTGGAGGCGTCTTTGTTATACAGAGGTTTTGGAAAAGGTACACTTTATCGTCTTGAATTAGTAATGACCAATAGTTTGTTTGTGTGAGTGTCTAATATGCCAAGGCTAAATGAGGTGTTACTGTCTAATTTCAGTCTGATGTATGTTTGTAATGTCTGATGTATGTTTGTTAATATTCTTTAGAATGTTTTAAATGGTATTAGAAGCGACCAACGATGGGCGTGTTTCACCTTCATGCACGACAACTGGGCTCCTTTCGTTGGCTTAGCGAGGAAAGATGCAAAGGCATTCAACACTGAAGCTGAAAAATTAAGATCACTGACAAAGCATCTTCAGGATGGAGACTTTGATGCAGGGGATAGGGACCCTAACGGAAGATGTCCTGATGCAAATGCTGTGTGAAAAGAAGGTACATGTGACATATATGACATTACACTATTATCAGTTAGACAGACTCAGTGAATTGTGCAAACTGTGGTATGGTATGGCGTAGTGTGGCTGGGCGTGACGTATTACAAACAAGCTCTTTCAAATCCTACAACAATCCGGTTTAAAGGCGAACACAGATGTTTCCGGGATAGCTGACACTATTCCGTTAGAAAATGGGTTGAATTCCTTTGATTTAATCTGTAGAGGAACTAAATCCACAAATGAGATAATGGGTTCTTGAATCTGTACAGCATTAAGCAAGTATGTATCTTTGTAAGTGTATTGCCTAGATGCTCAAGTATTACATATCCTTGGTAAAAGAAATTATATCAGTGTCGCTTTGAAGTGTATCCGCGTATTAAGGCGCCACAACTGAAGTGGAAAGCTTGGTCACTCATGGTTTTTCATAGTTTCTATACTGAATCCTGCAGGTTCCTGAGGTACGGCATTGGTGTACAAAGATGGAAGTAGACGCCAAAGGGACAAAACTGGAAATGATAAACAGACTGAAGGAAAAACTGAAAAGCAAATCAACCTTCAACAAGTTATTCTCAGGCATATGGGGCCATTCTGGTAATTACTCAAGCTCGATGACATTGTAAAATGACCAGTGTGAGTTCTTATAATCTCCAACTGTTGGGGAGAGGATTTAAAAGTATAAATCTCGATCAGTGGTTTCAAAATGCCCTTCGATCTCAAATTGCAAGCTTTCTTATGACACTTCTTCTAAATACAATCCACACAATGAAAGAATAAATGTAACTTCACATCACTTGACAGTGGCTAGGCAATGGCTGGACAGGTTGAAAAACCGTATGTCTTCTAAGCCAACAACACACAATCCTATAACAGTCTCTTCTCTTGGAAACTTAAAAAACATTTCTTACTTCTTAAGTATCTTAAAGCTCTCTTACTCTTTCTCACGCTCTTTCCTTTCACATGTGTATCTTAAATTCGTTGTCGCACACTTATTGTTGTCGATCAGGTAAGAACCCACAAGTCCCCACAAAAGACAATTAGTCTATAAGTCTTAGTTACAGTGGTATATCACAGCTGTTACCAATCCTGGGAAAGTAGCCTCGGACATCTGCTGGCAGCAGGGGCTGGCAGATTCTTATGTCTCAACTAATATATATAAATAGTATAAGCACATGTAGGCTCTCTCTTTCACACACACACACACAAACCGTAACAAAGTTACAAATATGATATATTGTATGTACAACAAATGCCTAAAATTAGACTCCTGACAACCCGTATGACCTTCTATGAATAACGAACAAACAGTATAGAGTCTCCTTGGAAGTGTTCACCACGAGTGAGTCGTGAAAATCAGGCGGCAGGTAAAGTGATTGAACTTGCAATTTCTTGTGACCAACAAACAACAATCAGAATCAGTGTTAAACATTTACTGCCGCGAATGTTCTGTTATTACACTGAAAGACAAATGCTTCAAGTTATGGTAAAATACAAATCCATACAACATGGGGAGGGGCTGCATAGCACGTATGTTTAGTGGTGACAAATGGGGATCTCCTTTGCCAGAGTAACATTGTTCTAATTAAGATACTGATGTGCAAATCTAGCATATTGAGTTGAAGAAAAAACCCGGTAAAGCGTTCATCTGAATAAAACCGAGTCCCTGTACCTCACAGCATTTCAGTTCTGCTGTTGATGTCATCCTAATCTAGATCATACTGTCCTCACCTCCAAAACCAATCCCCTTCCAGAACACATGGTGTGGTGCTGGATATTTTTCTGGAATCGTGGTTATAGGATATTTTGTGTAAACTACAACCATTTTGGTTGCTTGTCTCTGACTTTTTAACACACTTTTATCATGTTCAGATGAAACAATCACTCATGAGGTTACCTTGAAAGATGACATGTAACAATAACGTTTGCCCCTGGGTATAGTTTCTGATAAAAGTCAGGCTAATTTTCCTCTATGAGTAATTATTTTTCATGTTCGTTCAAGGTGGATGGGTGTCAGCCTCCTGCCCCCACAGAATCGTGTATGCGTTTAAATCCATCCTGAGACCTGAAAGTGTGAGGGACCATGTGGATTTATTACTATCCTTGTCAAGACAACCGCCAGTAGTCATCAGTGATGTAGCTCCGATGATGTCACGTCATGGAAACAGGAGGCGGAAGAACATGTTCTATCAAATGAAGGACGTTTGGCTGAAGCAGCTGCTGAGAACATACAAAAGGCGAAGGACGGAAACTTTTCTAAGAGCATACCTTACATGAAGGAATGGCTGACAGTAGCTCCACTAAATGCTCTGGACTCCGATGCGCATTTCCTGCCATCAAATTGAAACATTCTGTTTGCTTGATCGATTTCATGAAAGGAACACGAAATCGGAACAAGAACTGCTCAGACGTATTTCGCTTGTTCCCGAAATGAAAGGCAGAATTAATTCTCAAGTAGAAGAGCAAATGCACAGGAAGATGAACCGGAATAACTACTTTCTCGATGTCATGTCGCCTGGGAATTATATGTTTGTCCTTCGACTGCTGTTGCATTTTACAATCAACAAACAAACAAAGAAAATGACAGCCGCAGTCGAAGGACAACTGAAGAATGACATTCTGTGTGGTGAAATTCGACCACGACACGTTTGGCCGCCTGCACCTTTCAGGTAAATGACCTGATTTGAGCTGACTATAGAAAATGTTTATTGAACTGAAATTCAGTGTCTGATCTATTGATATTGTAATAATCAGTGTTTCTTGTCGGACAATGCAACAGAAGGTAAATTGATACAGTTCTATTCTACCGTGTGTGTTCATATACTTAACATGCAGCGTAATTTAGCATGCATTGTAAGAAACTAGTATTTTCATTGTCATTGTTATCACCGAAGTAATATGCTAAGTCTAATAATCGAGGCTGATTGTCGATGTTTTTGTACAGGGGAAGCAGACCGTTCCGTGCATGAAGACAAACAAGAGCGCAGAAAGGCATCGCTCAAATGTAAGTAACATGGTTGTGTCTGTTATGTACATTGATAGATCGGGATACCCTCGCTATGACCCATTTTACTGCACCAGTTCAGACATGGACATAGAATGGATACCCCCCCTTCCACTGAGAGATATATTTCCTTGTTTTGACTGTACTTTGTACGACACAGATCACAAAGGTTACCTTGGAACAGCTCCGGGTAGCTCTGCAAGAAGCCAGTCAATTAAACGCATAGACGACATCGCCCAGGGGACGTCAGAGCGCTTACAGGCCTCGGTATTGCAACACGGACTGTGTTTCCGACGGAAGACTCCGGAGATGGCAACTGCTTCTTTCATGCAGTTGTAAGATCAGCTACTAGCGCTTGGATGGCAGATCAGCATTTGATCACCTCGAATTAAGAACTGCAGTTGCTAACAGCTTACGGAGGTATCCTTATGTAAGTGCTTGCAGTGATATATATCCGCACAAATATCTACTTCTGAACGTAACTTAGGTTTCAAATACGCGCGCGCACTCTCACTCGCTCACACACACACACACAGAGAGTATTTTTGTGTTATACTAGTTTTCTTATATATTGATTTATTTACCACAGGAAGGGGCACACACCTATCCCATTTTGTCGATGTACAACGGCACAAAACCTGGAACGTTTACTTGGAGTCGATTGCTAAATCGGGTGAATACGCTGATCACCTTGTGGTACAGAGAGACGTCGCAGCTTCTGAAAAAGACATTGCTGTTTTCACAAGTTCTGAAGATGGAACCGCGTCAGACAATAATGTTGTCATGATAAGCGGTGGACCAGGAGCAGCTATCATGTTAGGTCACTATCATGAAGCGCATTACCAGAGTCTCGATCTCCAGCGTGATGGAAAGTATTCCGTATTCAATATTGTCATTGATATAGATTTCTTATTCCAGAAAGTGATGTATTCAATACCAAATACTTGCTCAGATATGTAACACATTTTCTTTCTCGCACTGGGTGACAAATACCCATTACAGACCCGGTGGCCTGTAGTTGAAATCAGGGTGTTGATATCATAACAAAGTCCACATCATAGGCATTGCATTCGTGTCGATACGACAAACTGCGCTAATACTTTTCATACAATGTGGAATATTTTCTTGAACCAGCACCACTTGTTCGTCTTTAACACCTAATGGCACTGTGTTCTCGGATAGCCGTGGTCAGTTGTTGTCCGTTTATGCAGGAATTGCGGTGAAATACGCTGAATACGCTTTAAAGAGATATTGCAAATGTAAACAATTCACAGATTGCTCACTAACTCATACAGTGGTACTCAGCAGTTTGAAATAAGTAACATCGTTTTCAGCAATAATGCAGGTCGCGGAACATTACCCAGAACTCATACAATTGCCGTTAGTGTCCTGAATTGTGTTCGGTTCATGTTTCATACCAAAGGGGGCGTGGTGCACCAATTGCATCCCACGGAATGGATATACCTGTGTAAAATATACAAACGTTTGACGTATATGTCATTTTAGTAAGCAAGTACTCTAACAATTCGTCATATTGTCATTTTAGGGCAACTGGAGTGTATCCAAGAACAAGCAAATTCAGCAGAATCAACATCAACTAAACTTGATGTGGTGAGGGTGATTCAATGTATCGCATCGTAGACATGGTGTAATGTTTAATGTTTACAGTGTTGAACACTTGTGACTTAAAAATACATAATGTGAAGTACAGAATATATGTGGGACCCTAACACAGCCTGATGCAGCTATACCGTTGTTTTCATAAAAGCTTTGATGTAATTATTTTCAGTTTCAAGATATCTGCAATGATAACAGACAACTGGACGACATAGTGGTGTCCATAGGTCCCTATAGAGTTTCAAAACTGGATATCCTGACGATAGCACCAAGGCTTCCGAAAGAAACCGAAGACCAAATGAGAGACAAAATAGAGAAAGAGATGAGATGGACGGTTGGTTGGGTGAATGATCAGGTATGTGTAAATGACAGTATAAGCAGTTTGTTACACGCTGATAAAAGAAAAACCCAAGTAACAATAATAGTAAATACGTTTCTTTTTGCAGATAATAAATGCCTTCCTGTATGTGCTGTGTCAAGGACGCGAGGTGGGTGAAAGGATTTTTTAACCTACAAGACAATTTAGAAATAACAACAATACAAGATGTCGACTCGTTTGTTCAAAGAATATACAATATGACTGAATGTTGTAGTTATGTATACAATTACAGTAACCAATATTCGTCCTTGAATATATAACATGTTCTTTTTTCGTGTTATTTGCTTCAGTGTAAGGAAAGAAATGTAGCTTTATCTACTCAGGTTATTGAGGGATGGCGAAATTTCAAGTCGGGAAGGAGTCACAGAGTGGCGCTTCTACGAAAGGTGATGAATTGATATTGAGTACAGTACAGTACATACCTGTGAGGATAATATACACTGCAACAGTTGATAAACGTCGGCAATGACTAATTATGGAATTGAATTATTTCCTACTAAATATAACAAATTCATTGTTGATCGCATTATAATTTGTTTGTTCGTTTGTTGTGCAATGCCACAATATGGCAATTCGTTCACTGTGTACCTGCTATGTTGCAAATACTACTGCATTATGAAGATGCCACCTCAGAACGAATATTGTTCCAAATGTAACAGACAATATTCGTTATATTTCAGGAAAAACTCTCAGACCATGAGAAAAGTGTTTATACCGATTCATAGACAGGGCAGCCATTGGACATTGTTGGTAATTGGTATTTCCTGGGTATATAAGACAGTAAGAGTGGTGACTTATGAGCTATATGTGTCTGGGACGCTGCGTGTTGAATTTCAGCAGTGTATAGAAACTTTTTGTGATTTCCTGTCACCGAATCTGATCCAGATGTCATGACTAAATGTAACTTGTCGTAATCTGTGGTTATCGCCAATAGTGATGTGTTTCTGGCGTTTCAGCAGCCTTATATTGTATTTTTGGAGCAAATGTATTATTCAGTGGGAAAGGGACATGCCAGGTGTATTGACATATAATAGTATGACACTTATTCTTCAGGTTTTGGATGTACAAACCAAACAAATGCGTTTCTATGACCCCATGAACCGGACATTTGATGAAGAGGTGGTCAACATCACAAGGTATGATTGTTGACTTAGTACATGCCCTGTTCTGACACTCCACGAGGACATTATACTTGCACGCACGCACACATACAGAGGGTAACTACCTTCACGCCTCCTAGTCTATGTCTATTCATTGTTGAGTTATCTGTCGGGTTCTTACTCTCATTGCTTTGGTATGTTTCTATGAAGGGAGTACATGGAATACAGACTTCAGAATGTACCGGATGATGCCATTGACCCAACACACTTCAACGTAGAAGTCGGTCATGGGTACACAACACAGAAGGACACTATTAGCTGTGGGGTTTACGTGTGCATAGTGAGTACAGTGATGTGTTGAAAGGGTTTTGTAAACGTTTTACTGAATTAATGGCTGCATATTTCACTTTTACTTATTCAACAACTATTCAGAAAATATTAAATTTTTACATAAATGAAAGTATACTTACTAATGTAAGGGTCACACTGAGAATCGTTTACTTGTTTCAGTATGCTTGGAACGAATGTAGGAAGGACAAAAGGTATGACCTTTTTGACGCTTTGTGTTCTGTCTCTAATGGTGTGAACAAAAGAACAAACTTCACATGTGTTACTATATGTCCCAAACATACCCTAACAGAACAAAGTGTGATGTTAACGGATACATGTGGCTATTTTACGGACGTAATGAGCGCATTAATTTAAACAGGATTAGGCATTAAGGTGCGCCTGGGGCACAACAGGAAGGCAACATTGTGTCATCGACTGCCTAACACCCATGAACCTAGCTGTACCAACATGGCACCCAGCTGCTGAACATTCTGGGGTTGACTTCTCAAGACACGAAGATTTCTTTCAAGAGCTGATGGGACTAAGGTCAGCTGGTGTCGATGCATTATGCAGGACATTTCGTGGTCAGAACAGCTCTGTGTAGTGTTACATTGTGACATTGGAATTCAGTAGCTTCATCCGTGAACAGCCAACGCACACGAACAGGGTCACGTGTTCATAAAAGAGTACCGCAGTAAAAATTGGTGGATGCATCAGGTGTAGACGTGACAATTATGGTATTCGCCCATATCAACTACTAGTACTTTGTATTGCCCATTTCCATAGTTCAGTTATCTGTTTCTGTTCAATATACAGTGTATTTTACTTTTGACGGACAGACAGCAAACTGACATATATGTATGTCTAAAAAAAGCAATCATGACATTTTGCAGGTTGACCCGGCAGTTGCCGCTCTTTCATTGCTGAAGAAATTTTGAATGCAGGGAAGGATATGCAACCGGTTGCACGTCTATTTGGGTGTTCAGTAAGATTGTGACGTTGATAGAACATAGATAGATACACGCTCTGATAGAACAGGCATTTATTTACACATGCTTGCACGAAAAACGCTTTCCATTTCAGAAGACCACACATGACGTACCAAGAAGATAATGGACTCATGAGAGCAAGTTCCGCGGTAAGACATAATATGTGTCCTAGATTGAAATACATAGTTTTCCATTTCATGAAGGGTGGAAATACGTTTAGCAGAGTTGCATGTATTATATTCAGAATGAGAAACGTGGCTCTAATAACAAAGTGCTATATCGAAAGATTGACGATCCAGATTGATACAGGTGTATGTAACAGCGGAACTAAATATGGCCATTGAAAAAAACTGAAACGGTAACTAAACAGATACAGATATACCCAGTTATTAATATAGGCTCATTGACTATATGAATCAATGTCACACATCTACATGGTTCCACATGGCATGGTCTTTACACTAGAGCCAATATACCAACATGAGAAATATCTAGCTATTTCGAAGTCAATAGGCCACTTTATCTCCACAACTTTGCGATGATGATATTCCCAGGGGCGCAGCTACCACTAAAAAAACTCACTTACACATGATTTTTGGTAAAGATCCCCTTGAAAGTTGGGCAAGCCCTGAAAACTATCTACCTATAAAGCTGCGCGACCTATCGGGTTTACACGAAAAGAATTGACTTGATAATACTGATTCCGATGACTGTGTATGTTGTATTCATGTGCACATTTTCGGCTTCATAAGTGAATGTGAAACTGACGTAATTTAATTCCCTACCATAATGAGTTGTAAGTAATAATTGTGGTAATGATATACAGCCACACAAATATGTATGTTATGTTTCTATATCAGAAAAGATTTTCCGATTCATGGTGTGCAGACCAACCGCTGCCATTGAAACGGACAAGACGACCTGGATGGATATCGCCGCCAGCGAAGATCCATTCACGGGTACATGAATCTAATCAATGACATATCGGTAACTGTAAGAGGTTAGAGCATGGATGAGCATATAAAAAATATGGAATGTTTTGTAAAGAATACAGTGTTCTTTTGTTTGTGCATGAATAAAACACGTTTCTGTTTCATTTAGAAGCAGTCTCCTGAGGTTCAGCTGCAACGGTATGCTACCTTTCACTTGTGACAATTATAAACGAAAGCTGCCAAAGCATTTTCAAAGTGCCTGTTACTAACACTTAACCATTACGACTGTGTTTTAGGCATAATTTATAACCAATGAACTGTTATACCTCTGTGAGCTTGTGCAGCATTGGATGTAATGAGAAACTAATTTTAATTCACTACTATTTCAGCCAAGGATGTGTGGAAAAGGCTTACAGCGAGAAGAACAGCTTTAAGTGGGTATATCATTTCCCAGAAAAGGGTAAATTGAGGGAGAGAGGGAAGTGTGTGTGTGTGTGTGTTTTGAGAGAGCGAGAGAGTAATGGTGTGTCTATGTGTGTGGGGGTGGGGGTTAAGGTTTGAGAGATTCCATGGAGTTAGCATACTGTTTTAATGAATATGTTTCTTTAATACAATTAGCGGCCCCGTAGTGGACATGGCTGAGTTCGGGTGATCAGCAGGTGACTATACTTGCTGATGATCTGGAGGAGCTGAAGACTGTGGAGCGATCACAATTCGAACGTGGTATGAATATTGAAATATATTCACCTACTTCATCAGCTTAAATATATACTGGCATAACTGTAAGTTACTAATTAGGGGATGTACATAAATGGAATGATTGGATGTTGAATCTGATGTTGATCACCTTTTCTTCTTTATTATTGTACTAGTACTAGTATTTATGCACACTGGATAACCTTTGCAACAAGATTTTCTTTTCGAACCTTCAGGTGGAAAAGTAATTGAAGAAGATGTTCCACGGTTGTACAATTATCCGACAGAAACAACATCAGAAGTACCGAATGAGTATGAGCGGCATATACTCTTCTTTAAAGGAAAGAAACTTTGAGAGGAGCAGAGCAATGTCCCACCTCAACGCCGTTGTAAGTATAACTGTACTGTGACTTCATAACTTCTTGTCAGAAATGACTATGACTACTTTGCAACTCCCACAAATTACAGCCAGACCACAGGACTGGTGAGATGTAAAACTTGGCAGCCCTGACCAAAACTTACCTTCCCGCAAATAATACAAGCTGACGTAGTTTATCATCAATTTATTTTTACTGAGTGAATTAATACTGATATATGACGATTATCTTCATATACATGTCCAAATTTTAACCGACCGTGGGGCAGGTGAATTTGAGAATGTGAAGGTCCGTGTTCAAAATATCCGTCCGGGCGGTAGGGCAGGCAGGTATTTCGAACGCTGCTATTTGTGGGGCATTGTGTCGATATACATGTATCAAACACAGTTGTTACATTGTATGCCTCTACGCCTGTTCCAAAGTACAATTTGTCTCAGCCTAACTAATGCCGATATGTTCATATTGTTCAATATTGTGCGCGAATTTGTAAAGAGAACATGTAACAATGGTAGAATGATTTTCATTTCAGGGGTATGCCATACTTATGCAGGCGATGGAATCGAAATTAGTAATCAGGACAAGAGGTCCAAGGTAATGATAGGATACAGTGAAATTTAAAAACGAGTTGTTCATGATGATGGTTGGTGTCAGTAATAAGAAACAAGTGATTCTAAAGAATGAATGTTTCGTACATAATTACCAGCTAGAGATCCAGCATGCACTACCATGAAATATACACACTTCATGCATGGTCATACTATTTTCAGACTGTATGATATAACCAAAAGAAATTTGGTACTTCGGATGCTGTACTACAGAGTGGACGCCCAAGGTATGTGACTGAAGGTTATAAGGTAAATGTATTTAGAATAAAATTGTTCTATTGTTTGTACGTGGCTTGAGCTCTGATAAAGGTGCTATCTTTTTTTTTATTCATGTATATTTCAGGAACGACTATTTTGTGAAGGTGGTGG